TCACCCAGGCTGGAGGGCAGTGGCATGCTCACGGCCACCGCAGCCTTGACCTGCTGGGCTGTGGTCATCCTCCCTCCTCAGCCTTCCAAGTAGCCGGAACTACAGTCACGTTACCACCACGCCTGGCTAATTTTTTATTTATTGTAGAGACGAAGTCTCCCCAAGTTGCCCAGGCTGGTCTTGAACCCACTTGCCCTGACCTCTCAAAGTGCTGGGATTACAGGCTGAGCCACCAAGCCCGGTCCATCTTGATTTCTGTATGTTTTTAGTAAGTCAAAGTCAGGAAACTTAAGTTCTCCAGTTTCAGCGTCCTTCTTCAATATTATTTTGATGATACTAGATTATCTGCATATCAACATAATCTATTTTTTGAGAAAGTCTGCAAGGTGCAGTGGTGTGTGCCTGTAGTCTCAGTTATTCAGGAACCTGAGCCAGGAGGATTCCTTAAGTCCAAGAATTCAAGACAAGTCTGGTGACAAACTTTTTTTAGAGATGAAATTTCTGTGTTCTCCAGGCAGGTCTCAATTTCTGGCCTCAGTCAATTCTCCCACCTGGTCTCCCAAATTGCTGGGATTACAGACATGAGCCATCTCGCTCAGTCAAAATACATAAATAAATTAATGAATGAAAAAAAACCTTGACTGGAATTACTTTGAATCTATAGATAAATTTGGAAGAAAGCTGATAATAATAATTTGTCTTCCAATCTATGAACATGGTATATCTTATCAATTTACTCAGGTCTTTTAAAATTTCTCTAGGAAATACATTGTTTTTGATACAAAGGATTTTGCATGTTTTTTGTTAAATATATTCCTAAGTATGCTTTTCAATGCAATGGTAAATGGATCTATTTTAAAAATTTCATTAGTTTCAATTGTTTGCTATTAATATATAGAAATGAAGTTTTTGGAAGTTTACTTATATTCTAATAATTTACTAAACGCATTAGTTCTAGCAGTTTTGTTGTTGATTCCTTAGCATTTTCTATGTAAACAAACATATTATCTAAGAATGAGGACCAGATTTACTTTTTTTTTTTTTTTTTTGAGTTGGAGTCTCACTGTTGCCGAGGCTGGAGTACAGTGGCATGCTTACAGCCACTACAGTCTCAACCTGCTGGGCTCAGGCAATCTT